ACACAGAGTGGAGGGGAGAGAGAGAGAAAGGGAGAGAGACAGAAACACTTAAAACACTTAAAGGCTGTAGGTTCCAAGGTGAGAGAAGACCACCTTCTGCTTCCAGACAACAGTCCTGTGTAGTCCACAGGAGCCTGAGAAGAAGGCTATGTCCAGTCAGGATCTTATAGCAAGCATAGGGAAGCTGTGTCCAGAGGACAGCCATGAAGTAGCAGAGTTTCTCCATCCTAAGGAGGCCACACACTCAGGGAAGGTGAGGTCACCTGGCACACCAGTGAAGGGTTGTCTGGAGAAGATGTCCCTGCCCGTTCTTTGGCAGATTGGAAGCCTAGGACCGTGAACCCACCCAGGTGAGAGGTCTGACAGGAACTTCATACAGTTCTAAGGCATTATTATTATTATTTTTTGTCTGACCTAGTAAAATTGGGATAGATGAGAGGCAGGTTTAGAGTCAGAAACTAAATTTTATAAAATTGTAAACATATGTCATCTCTGTAACACCCTTGTTTGTCAAATTATGTTCACACTTGGTACTTTGTAGTTGATTTCCCTGAAAATCGTTTATTCTGCCTAAGTTCACAAGGTAAACTTCTGTATTCAGCAGCGTTGATGAAAAGCAAGAGTTAGTTGTCTGTTTCTGAACAGTCTTATGAGAAATGAAACTTTAAAATCTTCAGCTGCGCAATATAAGACTCGTGTAAATTATACTTTGGCAATCAGTTGGTTTTGACGCATTTTAGGTGGAGTAAATATTATAGTCAGAAAGATCCAGGGAAGGTTTAATCTGAACCTGCTTAAAACTTTTTTTTCTCTCTAATGCCTGATAATGTGATGTAATAACATTTTTACAAACTCCTCACTTTCCCTTCTAAGAAATTCTCTGAAATTGCTTCTTGACAGGTAATGGCAGCATTTTAAACAAATAGTGCAGCTTCATTTTTCAATATCACACTCCAAAATAAATTAGTGTATTTCAGAATGAAGATTACTTCCTGAATACTCAAATTTAAGTGAAGGAAAAGGAAAACGTCTTGGTAAATGCACACAGAATGATTGGAGACTCTTCGGATCATTGCTCCATTCTACGTTGATGGAGATGGCGCTGTTCTTGAGAAAGTGATACAATTCTGGCGGTGAACTGAACTGGGCAAGAAACAAATCAAATTTCCCCATAAGGTCAACCTTGAACCTAACCACTGAATTTGATTCATTTCTCATCCAATCCGGTTTGTGACCAGAATCGTGCAAAAAATTGAGTTCATGAACTGAGGACCACTGTGTGTTTAGTTGCCATGCTCATTAGAAGTATTAAACTGACTACTGTAAAAAAAAAAAAGCAGTTATTATAAGACTATAAACTCCTCTGTAGCGCAGATAATTTCTTTTTTATATTTTCAGAACATACCATTGTTTCACACACTACATATATTTAAAATGCGTTTTGAATTAACAACTTCCTGAATAACTGTGATGAATGAACACATGGAATAAATTTACGTCATATCACTTCTCTGAAAGGAAGTGCTGTACCTGATGGTCTTAGGTTGAATGGCAGAAAGAACAAATGAATGAACTAAACATGGCGACTCCTGTAGGTGAGGTGGGTGTTAGCATCTTCTCGTGGTTGAAGATCGCCCTGGGCTCAGACGGCCATTTACAACCGCAGGGTGGCCAGACGCACTGTGGTCCTTCTCTGTCATGTGGTCTCTGAGGGAATAGAGCAGAAAGAGCAACTGGATTGGGATGGATGTGGCTTTGTGGTTTTCACCTATTGTCAGAAACTGTTCCCCACCTCGTGACATGGCTACCATAGTACTGACTTTCACAGGTTGCTTTGGGGATTAACCAAATTTATATACAGGGTATGAGTGCAGATGTTATACGTTACTAATTGTCAGTGAAAGACAAGAGGAATTACGACAATGCTTAGCTTTTTAGAAGGAAAGTTTTATGAAAATGCCTCATAGTTTTGTTCTTGAAAGTGAGGTTGAATTAATTTGTATCAGGTGAATGACTTACTAGGTTGTATTTTTCAGGGGTTACTATTATGCAAATTAGTAGAACTGTGTGTTCCCATAAATCCAAACAATGTCGTTGTTGTCAGTCTCTCTTTGTTATCAATAGCCCTTTCTTGCTCAAAGTCACTTAGTCAACTTCTTCAAAACTTTGATAATGGAAAAAAATGAATCACAGTTATTATCAAGATAGGTTATCTAATTGCTTTTGGAACTTCAATTCATTCTCCATTAGTAGCTTCTCTGTGCATTCACTAAGACAAGGAGAACAGTAAATTACAAAACAATGACAATACATTAGGGGTGGTAAAAATACATTTTGCATAAGTATTTTAAATTATGAACCTAAATGAAATGTCAAGATTGTAAGTTTAAAAACCTAAGAACTATTAATGTTAAAAATTTTGAGGTGTTTGTGAGGAAGTTAAAATGATACTTTATATTTTTATCTTATAATAAGCTACATTGGCACAAGAACTTGGGAATTTGGAGTGGATATAGAGATAACCTTCAAGCTCAGTGGTGGTATTTTTTTCATAGATAGAAAGGCTGAGGCCGAGAGAGGTTAAGTGACCAATCCAAAGTTTGACAGCTGAAAGTAAATAAATATTTAACAGCTGACAATAAATGTAAAGGCAGTGGTAGAAACAAACATGAACTTCAGAAAGTAGGGACTATGTCTATGATCTATTAATGTTTTGTTACTTTATAAGTTGAGCCAGTGAAAAAAATACTGTGAATATTTGGTCATGGTTAATATTTTGTGCAATTATTCACTGAAAACACTGTTGTGCAGTAGAAATCTGGCTCTAAGTAATACCTTATATAACCCTTGGCAACTCTTGCAGCCTTTCAAATTCTTGCTTTATAAAAAAAATCAATGTAATAAAAAAATTTTTAAAATGCCTCACCTGTCTGGTGATCACAGGGTACATTCAGAATTAATTAGAAAGCAATAACAAATGTGTCCCATATGTCATTTCTCCATTAACATTGCCCCTGCCTATCCGAGTGTACATGTATGTGCTGGGCATGTGGCGATGACATGAAGTAAACTGGTAATCATAGTTTGGCCTTTTGATGAGTGAGTGTGGGATGACACGGTGACACCTGCCTGAGTCCTTCTGCACACTGTCGAGGCCCTGCTACTTTCCCTTTCCATGACTCATCTCAAAACACCCACATAGTAATGATAAACTTACAGTGACTGAGTTAGAGAAGATGGAGTTTCTCTTCAGTGATTGTAGGAAAGAGGCACTTAAAAAATACTGTTGTTTTAGCAACAATAAGCTCAGAATTTTTCTTTTCTTGTGCTAGAAGAGTGGCTTTCGAGAGAGGAAGCTCTTGCAGTGCTCCCCTGGAGGCAGTAGGGAAAATAGGGGGCGTTCTCACAATGACCTGGTGACACTATTTAGGTCCAGTGAGCGACAACATTTTGTAATATGACAAAAAGTCTTACACAGGGAGGACCTGCCCCTCCCACAGCGTGGAGCAAGTACACTTTGGCTTAATCTTTCTCTAAAGAAGAGTGGTGAAGGGCCGGGGATTTAGCTCAGTGGTTCCACCGCCTGCTGCTCGAGTGCAAGGTCCCGAGTACAATCCCTGGTACCAAACAAAACAAAACAAACTAGAATATTAAAGAAGAGTGGTGTTACAATTCAGAGTCAAAAGTCCAGAGCTTTTCCGAGGTCTACCCCACTGAGATGGAGCGCTTCAATGCATAGAGCATTTCTGTGCTTACATGTGGTTTTGAGATGCAGTTCAGCCAGCTGCACATCCTTCACCAAGTTACTTAATTTCTTTAATGCTCTGTTTTCTGCCATTTGTAGACTTGGGATAGTAAGACAACTTTTCAGAGATGTTATAAAGACCAAATGGTATGACACACATAGGGAGCATACAGGAGCAGTTTGACAAATGTTGGTGTCCACACGGATGAAAATGATTTCACAAGATGCCTGCTCCAGAGAAAGGTGGAGGACTCTGCTGTGTCTACACTGCTGCCTCGCTGGTGCTGAGGTTCCTACTGGGCCTCCTTGCTTCTTCCACCACAGACTGGAATCCCTCCCACTGGCTGTTTTTAGGAAAGCAGGGAGGACCAAACCTGCACATACTAAGGCATTTCCTCTGAGCGTATGTGACAGCAATTTTTTTTCAGAATTATTTTTATTTCACATTGATAGAAACCATGAGAAACATTTACATTGTCCCACATTGCAGCACTACATTTCAATGGAATATTCCTTGCTATAAATAAGATCTTACTGGTTTGCATAACTGAAATAAGTCTACAGTTCTTCAAGGTAAAGCAGAATGACATAGTAAGTGATGGTTTAAAAATTTTAAATCCAGGGCTGGGGATTTGGCTCAGTGGTTCTGCCATCTGCTTCACAAGCACAAGGACCTGAGTTTGATCCCTGGTACAAAAAATAAAAAACAAAAAAATCCAGATAAACATGTGACTTCATTATAAACATCCTATGTAGTCCATTACCAGATTATTTCCATGACCAATTAGCACCATAAAGTTGCATTCTTAACAATGTTATATAAGATGAAATACAACAGAAAATTAACATAGTCCAGAAATATTAAACATATATTTTGCTACAATTTTAGACTGTACAGTAACTATACCATATCTATAGGGTTCTGATTAACTTTTATTACCTCCAAATTTGTTTTCAAATAATTTTTTACTATTAACCTGGAAATTTTGGCTATTTAAAATCAAATGATTTCTGTTTTTATGTTTGCATGAAAGACTAATTTTTAAAAATAATTTGAAGTAAAAATTTCAAATAAGACCATCGGCAGGTAAAAATAAAGCAAATATTTCTAATGAATTGTTTTCTGCAGTAGCTGGTTTCAAACATATGCACAGGAAATAAAACAATGCAGCAAGGACACTCAATAAAAATTTAGTTTTTAAGATCAGTCTTAAATATTTCTGTACATACCAGAATGTGATCTAATTATTCATTCAACTGCTTACAGAAAAATAATAAGATTTTATTATCATCTGGATTGAAGATTCCTTCCGCTCCCCACGTGCTGTTCCCCCCCCCAGGCGGTGGATGTGCGGCAATAATGTGTCTTCTCCGATGCCAGCCGTCGTGCCCGCCTCCCAGAAGGCCACTGCCGCGGTTATTTTCCTTCATGGATTAGGAGACACTGGGCGTGGACGGGCAGAAGCCTTTGCAGGTATCAGAAGTTCACATATCAAATATATCTGCCCACGTGCGCCAGAGATGCCTGTAACACTAAATATGAATGTGGCTATGCCTTGGTTTGATATCCCTGGGCTTTCACCAGATTCTCAGGAGGATGGACCTGGGATTAAACAGGCAGGAGAAAATGTAAAAGCTTTAAGAGAGCAAGAGGTGGAGAATGGCGTTCCTTCTAACAGAATTATTTTGGGAGGATTTTCTCAGGAAGGAAGGAGCTCTGTCTTCATACACTGCTCTAACCACACAGCAGAAACTGGCCGGTGTCACTGCGTAATTTAGTTGCTGCCTTCCACTTCGTGCTTCAATTCCACAGGGTCCTATCCGTGGTGTTAACAAAGAGAGTTCTCTTCTCCAGTGCCGTGGACATTGCAGCCCTTCAGTTCCCCTGATGTTTGCTTCCCTTACTGTGACAGCAATTTGAAAAGGACCCTTGCCCCATCCTGTGGACAGTGGTGCAACGTATGTAGGATTCTTGGGCTGTCCTGTTTTGGGGTATCAGTGTCACCTAAGAAGAGTGAAATCAGCAAGCAAAGAACCCTTGGTTTGGGAGGGGGAGGAGCAGGCATGGGCCATTAGATTCCGCAAGTGTCTGCCGGGGTGAAGACAGTATCCACATTCCAAAAGAAAAATTCGGAAATACGAGTAGTAAAGATGGAATGCAAAGCAAAGCTCTCCACTGGCGTCAAATAATAATCAAATTCCTTACAATGGCTTTGGATTGCTTCGTAGGGATCTGGGCAGAATCCACAGCTCCAGCATCATCCTTTGCTCCACAGAGATCGTGCTTCAGACAAAGTGCAAGAATTTCCCTTCTTTTGTCTCAAGGCTTATTCTTCGGTCTTTTTGTTTCTACACATTTGCCAAAAGGCCTGTTTGTTGTTTGTTTGCTTGCTTTTTCTCTCCCTAGGATGCTGTCTGCACTCCCAGTTTGGCCTCGTGACTGTCTTTCAGTCCGTATCTTGACATCATTTTATCCTTCTTGCAGGCGATCACACTTCTCCCTGGGTCCCTTCAGGGCCATCTTCTCCCTGCTGCTCATGTGGTCCCGAGGACCACCAGACACCTGCAAGGTTGGCTTGGTCTTCCTGGGTGTGACACTCCATTCCACTGACTCCCTGCCAGCTCTGCTGGAGAATGGAGCGGGGGGCTCTCCTTCCTGATCTCAAGACTCCTTCCCTGTCACCTTTTCTGCAGTCCCAGCCTGCTGTGCATCTGGTGAAGTGCTAGTCCTCCCTCACTGTTCCTCACTATCTCACCAGCCGAAGAGATTCAAGACCAAACTTTCTTTCCTGCCTTTTGCTTCCTAGGTAGGTGTCTGAGCCCATTGTGTGCCACTGTAACAGAATGCCTCAGACTGTTTACTGTATAACGAACAGACACTTACTTAGCTCACTGTCCTGGAGGCTGGGGAGTCCAAGTACATCTCATCTGAGGGCCTTCTTGGTGCCTTACAACGTGACCAAAGCATCCCCTGGGCAAGACAGACAATAGAGTGGAGTTTGAGCCTGAACCCTTTCATAATCAACACTGAACAGTCCATGTGGTTGAAGCTCTGTGAACAAAACACCTACTAGGCCTCACTTTTCAACACTGCTACATTAGAGATTGAGTTTCCAACACACACATTTTTGGGGACATATTCAGACTAATCACTTAGCAAATGTCTTAAATTCTCTAAAGAGGTTAAGCCTTTAGGAAAAGAAGAAATTCTTTCCTGAGTACTCAGCTGACTACCTATTGAAGAATGCACGGAAAGAAAACAGTAGAAGAGAAAACAAAGCCCCTTAATATCCCCAAATATTCCCTAGCCACGGGTATATATGCCTCACTATGGAGTGCAGGGACATGGACATAAATATGCAATTGAAATATGCTCTTGTTTATCCAAGCCCTAGAATTTAACACATAATAAAGTTATTCCCTTAGCTTTATTCCAGTATTTCTTTTTGTTCTTCTTGTATCCCTTATTCCTATCTCCAGAACTCTTCAGATGTCCCCACATCAAACTTAACTATTTGGACACAGCATACAACCAAATTGGATTATGAAAAAAATAGCAGAGCTATGGGAAGCAAACTGGAACTCTTCCTTCTTCCTATCACCTACAAAATATTCATAGATTTACCCTTTCTATTAAAGAATGTCCTCATTACCAATCAGAATAGGGAATAATAATAACTTGTATTAAGAGAAAGGGGCAGTTTTTCATAATTTCTTTTTGGTATTATTTTACCATTTTTCAAAAAGGAGAAAATAAACAGCAATAAATACTTGCACGCATTTGAAAGCAGACCTCATTTCTTTTTCAGTTGCACATTGTGTTGTTTTAATTATCAAGCTCAGTATTGCAGCATATAAAGTTCTTTGGGTTTTTTTTTAGAAAATACCATCATCGCTTAGTGTACTTCATTTGTCTGTTCGTTCATGGAGTCTTGATCCGGCAGCTGCTGGAGGCAGAGCATTTCTTTGGGAGGCACTTATATCGTGTTTGCGTGCATATTAATGAAACTCTACAGCTTTCCTATTCTAACTTCAACACTTCGCTGCCACTTCAGCTGATTATAGCCCCAGATAATTGCCACAATGCATCCCATATTTAGTGGAAACAAAATATATTGATGACAAACATGTTTCTTATCAAAAGCCAAAGAGATGGGTCTGAATTCAGATTGTACAGTAGAATCAAGTATGTAAACTCATTAGACAGATAAGATGCAAATTTATAGAGCCTGAGCAAAAAAGAGGAGGCTGGCTTTCAATCCGAGGAAGGAGGCAGCATCCAGCCTCATTACTGTAAAAGCTTCACTAGAAAATAGGCTTTTCAGGAGATGCTGGTGTGAAGGTAAATATTAAATCCCCTGGTCCCTTGGGAGAGGCAGAGTGAGTGCCCAGTGAGTGTGGTAGAGGGATTCATGGGCTGGAACTGTTGCAATCATGATTGTCATTTTTCATCGTGCTTTCGTTTCAGTCCTGCCTAATCAGAGGATTAAGCAGGAGTCACAGGCTTTCTTTTTATAGATCTGGTGACCAAAAGTTAGAGAATGATTCCATTTTCATGTAGGATACACCTAATCTCACTTAACTTTTGTCCACACATGGATTCCTGAGCCCAAACCAAACCTTCAGCGCTAGAGACACAGAGAACATAGGTGCTCCTAATTCTCTCTGAAGTCACACCTGAAAAGTAATTTCTTTGGTAGGCTGAATGATGGTTCTCCAAAAGTATCTATGTCCCAACTCCTGAAACCTGCGAATGACAAAAACATGGCTTCAATGATAAAAACATGGCTTCCAGAATGTGATTAAATTAAGAATGTTGCGATCAGGAGATTATCCTGGATTACCTGGGTGGGCACAAAGTGGCAGCGCATACGTCTTCTTAAGAGTGAGGCAGAGGGAAGAAAGCAGTATCCTTGTGGAAGGAGAGAATGAAGTGCTGAGGCTGCTAGCCAAGGAGTACTTGCAGTCACAAGAAGTTGGAGTAGATAAGAAACAGATTTTTTCCCTGGAGCCTCTTGGTATTGTGCAGCTATCCTGAACCTTGGTCTCAGTCCGGTGGTTGGGGCTACAGGGTTCAGACTGCACCCTATGGTAAGAACTGGAATCCATTAAAGTGAATGGATATCATCATCGTCATCATCATGGGAAGAGCCAAATGCTGGGGTAGTAAGAAGTAGGGACTGACAATAAGAAAGCTTCCCTTCTTTTCGAATGAGATTGAATTCGACCAAATTTCCAGACTGGAAGCAGCTGAAATAGTTTTAGGAGTTAGAGCAGCTCCCCAGCCCTCAGGAGGCTTGCTGAGAACACAGCTAGGTAAGTTTCTGCTGTTTGGCCACAAGCACACTATGGGCAAGGCAGACAGTGGGCAGCTTCTAACACAGCCCAGTGCCTGCAGAAATGGCTGTGAAGCCAATACCAGTTCTGGATACAAGAGGATGTATTTGATTTTGCACTTTATTAGTAACGCTAAGAGTAAATTGGGCTGGATGTGATGGTGCACACCTGTAATCCCAGCACTCAGGAAGCTGAGGCAGGAGTATTGCTGTGAGTTTGAGGCCAGCCTGGGCTACATAGTGAGTTCAAGGCCAACCTGAACTACATAGCAAGAACCTGTCTCCAAAAAAACCAACCAAACAAACAAAAAATGAAGAGGTACTTGGAATATGAGTTAATAATTATGGATACGTAGGGATATAGGAGAAGGGCCTTGAGAATGACCAAGTTTCCTGCTAATCTGGCTAACCAAGGTCTTGAAGTTATGCTTATTAAGTAATTTTTTTAACCCCGGCCAGGAAAGATGAATGTTTACTTGGCAAGGTTTACAGCTTTCCTAAACAAAATAAAATGGTTTTCCCTTTGGTGAGTGCAAAGCCAATAAACATAGCCAAGAGATATGAGAGAGAAGAAAGGTTTAGTACTTAAAGAAAATAAGAACACTGGGGATGACTCCCAAAGCAGTGTCTCCTTGAACAAAGGAAGCAAGGAAATTTTATTGAGAAAATTTATACACATTCATAATGAAGAAAAGTTGTCATAACATCTATAGAGGCAGGCACATTCTCATGAACATGCAGTTGGAGATCAGTCTTCTTTTTTTAAAAAAAAGTTTATCGGCACACTTTAGATATACATAACAGTCACATTCATCATAGCGAATTTGTACCTGTACATAGTACATCCTGATTCTTCTTTCCTCAGTCCCCACCCCTCCCTGAACCTCCCTCCCCTTATTTACAGGTGCTGTTACATCCTCTTGAACTAGAGACCCAAAACTCTCTTGGTGCTGAAGCAAGTTGGATCTTGGGATTGTCAGGGTTGTCTGCAAGGGTTGGCATCGCTGGGTGACTATTTGTTTGTAACTTGAATGGCTCCAGTCAAGAATGAATGAACTTAGCTAAGAACTTAAAGAGCTAGGGCCCTCAAAGCAAGAGTAACAGAACGGCTAATTAGAGAGGCTGCCATATTAGAGAGAGAAACCAAGAAATATTGGGGAACTCTGTCCTTACTTTGAAGAACAGGCATAGTCTTGTGCAGAAAGCCATAATAGAATAAAGAGACACAAGCTAAAAGCCATATATGCAAGAGCAAGTATTATAACTTTCTTTAACCTACCAATGGCACTATGCAAGTCTCATTGGCTATATCACAGATGAACTGGAAATGATTCCAACCTTCTGGCAAGAATCAAAAGGGTGTAAGGAGGTAGAAGATCAAACTCAGCAGGTATACAGAGCAACCAGGAGAGTAGGGCGAAAGAGTCATTTACTGCGCAGCTCTACTTATCTATTTGATCTTCTTCAATTTCCATGTGAGTACCAGTGCTGGTGCCAAGAACTGAATGTTTCTCGGCTCACCTAGGTCTAGTGGTGCCTGGGCCCCTTTAATATGATGAATCTGATGAGTTATTTTTTGTAGTTTAAGACAGGAAAGAGTAATTAGTAACATTACATAAGGTCTTGCCTCAGTTGAGTTACCCTGGTTCCGAGGGACCCTGACTTCCAGATTATTAAATATACCAGACCCTCTGCTCCATAGTGCTAGGGTTTGATCTCGTAGGAGATGGAAGATTTAGGTTTACAAACTTATTGAGAGCAGACACTTCCTGGCCTAGTTTGGTATGTG